GATCTACTCATCGGTGATGAAGTGCTGGTCCTCACAGTTCTCGCACATCGCCTACGAGTATAAGAGAGGTTACGGACAGCCTATCAATAGTCCGATGGCTGTCGTCATACAAGAGATGATTGGCTGCGAATCGGCGGGAGTTATGTTCACTTGTGATCCCATCACCGGTGATGAGAGGTTTCTGGAGATTACGGGCAATTATGGGTTGGGAGAAGTGAGTCCATAAGAATCTATAAAACTGTCAAATAATTTATAAAAAACATTATTTTTATTTAACAGTCAGTGGTGTCGGCGTCTTCAGAGCCGGACACAATCAAACTGTCGGTCAATATTGAGTCCAACTCTCTGTCCAAACGAAGACATATCAACCGAATTGAGTCTAAAGTGATCGGACGGAAGAAGACGCTAATAAAGTTGTCTGAAAGTGGGGGCACTGTCGAGGAAGTGGTTAGCGATACGAGTAATTGTTGTGTCAGTGATCAGGATTTGATGCGTTTGGGAGATATTGGGCTTAAGGTTTGGATTTGCAAACTGAGTAAATTTGATAAATACTATAATAATTTGTATGAAATTTCAATAGATTCACAAACACTACGGAAACGCGAGAGATATAGAGTGGGGTGTGAAAGGGGGACAAATATTTATGCTACAGTCGAGACCTGTCACCAATTTGGACAACTCGTACACGGATTATGAGATTATGCACGAAATGGACAGCCCCCTGGAAACGCGAGAGATATAGAGTGGGGTGTGAAAGGGGGACAAATATTTATGCTACAGTCGAGACCTGTCACCAATTTGGACAACTCGTACACGGATTATGAGATTATGCACGAAATGGACAGCCCCCACCAGACTGAGTTTGAGATCTACTCCCGGGCCCACTGGGGCGAGAACTTTCCCGGCGCCTCCTCCTGGTTGGTCTACACCTGGACTAATGCCAACAAAAGTGGATTTTTTGTATGCAATAGTTAGCTATAATTAGTGAGTTTTGTAATAATATTTGTATTTTTTGGTCAGAGTTTTGGTCTCGAATCGGGAATGTTTACTGAGGAGGACTACAACCCCTTTAGTCCGACAATGGCTGTCCAATACAACCAAATGATGTTTAACATGACAAATGTGAATGTTAATTATTTTGATATATTAGTAAATTGTTGTTAACTTTGAATTGTATGTGATTTTAGGGAGGCATTGATATATTCAGCGATTATCCGGAGTCAGATCGGGCGAAACAATTCGTTATCGCCTTCTTTGGGCATCACATCGACGACAAGGATGTGTTAGAAGCGTTCAAAGACTTGAAGAATGAGAAGAAGAAGTTATCGGTTTATACGAAGATTAAAGATTCCACGCGATTGATAAAGTGGCTACTGTTTGGTCCCCAATATTTGATCCAGGGCAAAACTCAATACATGGAGCACTTGAAGTTTGATATTGTGTCTGAAATGAAAAACTTATCCAGCTCTAAGGAAATGTTAGATAAGATTATAGATAATTTCCACGACGTGTCCATGGTGCAGTTTCAGCATCATGCCCCCGTGTCTATTGGCTCAACCATTAAGCACCTGTTTTTAAGAAGTGCTTTAGAAGGAGCTGAAAGTCAGTAATTTTTGGTCAATAGTCGTATAATTTGTAAATTAATTTTAATTTTAATCAGAGGATAATCCGGAGTTGGAGTCAGACTTCAATTTACTGATCTCGTCGTGTAATGAAGTAATCAGTGCTGAAGTGCCTAATAGTTTGAGAGAAATTGCAAAATCAATCCGAGATAAGCATTCGTTTAAACAAATGAGTGATGAAAATGCTATGAAAACACTAATGGAGGGCACGGATGAGAGCTCACAGAAGTTTAAACAGTTTTTGGATAAACACGGCCACAGAGGGTACCGGGAGTTTGATCCCATGCACCAGCCCTGGGCTTACAATCCTATCCCTTGCATTAAAAACATAAAAGTACTGAAAATTACTTTTAAAAATACTATTTTCATTGTAATACAGTATTTATAATTATTTATTTATTTTTTAGGCACTATTATCGGGAAGTAAGTCACAACTGGAGCCAAAAGTAGCCAAATCTGTGGATCAAGTGGTGGATGAGCTGAAGACTCCGTTATCTTTTATGCGAAAATTGTTAATAAGAAAACTATGGCTTCCGTGGAGTCGGAGTGGTGTCGGCTATCGAGAGATATCCAAATATTTCATGATTTGGATGCAAAACAAGCAAAAGCAGGCCTTCCGTTATTTGGCGCAACAAATGGTCGCCGAAGGACTCATACCGAGCGTCGACACCTTTTTCTTCCTGACCGCTGAAGAAGTGGAAAGCCTTTGCAACGGATCCAGAGATGCCTTAATATTAGCGAAAGTGAGGCACAGGAAGAGACTGTACCCCAAAATGGATAAATACAAGTTCGACGAGTTTGTGAAGGGGCCAGACATGAGGCCCAGGAATGTATGAGTTTATGAAACTTATTTGTAATTAATTTTTAAATTATGTTTTTTTGGTTCAGTTTGAAGAGCGAGTTATTCCGCCGACTCTGAGCTCCGGTATGGTTCAGATGAAGGGAACGCCAGTTAGTAACGGATCGGTTAGGGCGAGGGTTTGTGTTTCTGAGGATATTACCGAAGCCGACAATATTCAGGTATTTTTTAAAAGTTTTTTGCTATAATTAATTGTTTTGTTGTTAATGAATAATTTTTGATGAATAGCCGGGAGATATACTGATCACATACTCGACAGACATCGGTTGGAGTCCATACTTCCCTCTACTGTCGGGTATTATCACAGAAATCGGTGGAACCATATCTCACGGGGCAGTCATNGGTGGAACCATATCTCACGGGGCAGTCATTGCCAGAGAATACGGTATTCCGAGTCTGATAGCAGTGGAGGGCGCCTGTAGTGCATTCAAAACCGGAGATATTTGTGTTTTGGATACACAGACTCAGACTATCACTAAAGTCGAGTGAAACTACTGTTTAAATGTGTATTAAATTCAAGATGAACAAAATTTAGAAATTAATTATTATAAAATATACTTTTAGACATGTATTGATAGCTAAATAACTTTTATTAAATAAATGTTTTTAAAATTTAATTAATTAAAAACTAATTAATACTTTAAATACTAGTAAACCAAAAATTTACATTAAACAGTTTTTATAATACAAAATTGCATAATTTTTTCTATTACTCGGAAAAGTCTTATGCAATTATTTTATATAAATATTTGATAGTTTTATTATTAATTAAAGAATAAATTAAAAATTAAATTTTAATTTGTACAATCTTATTAACAAATTGTAAGATTAACTATATCTTTAATTAGGAAATATGTTCTTAAAATATTTTAATGAAGTGTATTTGCATTTTGTTGGAAATTAATTAACTTATTATAAAGTACTAATTAGTTAATAAAAGCTACTAAATTCAAGTTTTAATACAAGACAATTAATTAAGAAATAATTAAGAAGACCTATCTGTGAATGTAATGATACATAGAAATTATGCAAATTAACTGTGCTTTACAGTTAGTACAGTACTAAGAAATCAATTTGTATATAACTAAAACTTATCAAGAATTGGCTATTTAATTGACAAAAAAATTATTAGACAATAATAAACTCTGTGTTTAGCTTGAACTGTGTTTCATTTTTAAAAAACTTATCCACATAAAGTTTGTGTTAAACCAAAAATACTAAAAAACATTCAATCATGTGGTTCAGCGACTCTATGTTATACAAAATTGATGATATGTTTGCTACAATTAACTATTGCTTATATGATTATTGGGTCGAATACCAGGACCCTCGGTCCAAACACCTGCCATTTATTGACTATACACCCCTGCCCTTAATACTGGCCGTTATGGCGTATTATTTGGTCATTACAAAGTTTATGCCCTGGTACATGCAGGACAAGGAGCCCTATAATTTACGAAAGACCATGCTCGTATACAATGCTGTTATGGCTGTTGGAAATCTGTGGGCATTCACCACATCTTTGGAATACATAGACTATGGCCGAGTATTTTTAAATGTAGACTACCCGGGCGATCAGACATCAACGCCTGAGACTAGGAAAATGATTATCCTGGGTAATATAAATTATAGTATTTTTCACCTATATTATTTCTTATATCACTTATAAGCTTTATGTGAATTATGTAAATTATTAGGTTATTTATATTTAATATCAAAACTGTTGGACTGGATGGACACCCTGTTCCTATGTCTGCGCAAGAAGTACACCCACATAACACTGCTGCACATGTATCACCACATATCGGTGCCGGTGTTTGGGTGGCTTCTGGTCAAAGTGAACGCATTCATACCGGGGATGAGACTCTTCGGTCTCATGAATTCGTTCATACATTTCGTGATGTATTCCTACTATTTTTTGGCCGCATTTGGACCCGAAATTCAAAAGTACTTGTGGTGGAAGCGATATATCACGCAAATGCAACTGGCTCAGTTTATCATACTGGGAATTTATGGCTATTTATTCCTATTTTTCCAGAGAGGGTATCCCGTGTTCTGGTTATACGTGGCCGCCCCTCAGCCCCTGTTTTTCTTTTATATGTTTTATGACTTTTATAAGAAAACATACGTTGAGAACAAAAATAGAGAAATGAATAAAAAAGTTGAATAGAGTTTACAATTAATTTTTATATTGTTTGTCACAAAATTATGATGTAGAAAATATTTTTGTTTTTGTATTAAAATCTTTGCTAAAATATAACAAATAAAAATATAGAATTAAACATGAATAGTTTATTAAATTATTAACGGTAATTTTAATAATTTACTTTAAATTGTAAATTGAAAGATTTTTAATTGAGTATAATTTATTAAAATTAACTTTAAGTTTATTTGTACCTATCTGAATATTTTTATGTTAATTACAAATTTTATAAAGAGTTAAGTCGTTTTGAATTATCATTGTATTGAATTTGGAAATAAAACTATTGAATTTCATTTTATAATCAGGAAAACAACTAAACCACAAACTTAATAAATATTTAGCTATTATAACATATTTGTTATGCAATTGTTTAGAATAAATTTATGTAAAAAATATAAAACACAAAACAGAGTATTTTCAATTAGTTTACTTAATTATACCTCATTTAACAAGTTAATTAGTCAATAGAATTATGTATTTTTTAGTTTAAAGGTGATAGACACTTAAAAATGACTAAACAAAAGTTGAACTGGGCAATAAGACTTTTATTTAGGAAAACTATTGATTATTAATAAATACAAAGTACAATCATATTAAAATTACATACAATATAAAATTTTATTCAATTTCCTTAAACTAAAAAAGTTTGACCAACAAGTAAACGACCATGGTCCAACTAGCAGACATCACCCCAAAGAAATAATTGAGTCCATTGTGAATGGATGTCAACTTCTGACCTCCATTTCCAGTCCTTTTCATACGGCTGTCTATCATGTCCTCCGAAGGTTTTCTCAGATCGTAAGCCAAACCATATTTGGCGCACAAATCGATGAAAGCCGTCGCGGGATTGAAAGCGTCTTTCCACCCGTACTCGGAGGCCGAGTAGTCATATGGGAAAGTGTGGTGATAGTTATGGTAGCCCTCACCTAACCATCAAATTTATTGGTCATGTATTAGACTACTATTGATATATGAAATAAAGGTATACCTAAAGCCAGATAAACAACACATCGGTTCTCATTGGGCCTAATGTTGATGTCATAGGGTTTGTAACCAAATATATGTGCGGCTGAGTTGACGAGCCACGTGTGGTTTAGGGTCACCACCAGAGCCAACATATTGACTGCAATACCGTCCCATATGGACACACCCCAGAAGTTCATGGGTACGTACGTGAATAAAGTGAACCGGATTACTATCGCGAGGGGAATGTAGTAATATCGCTGAAATCGGATGATGGGGTCGTTCCAGAGGTCACTCATGTCCAGCTGTTTGCCCATATGCTTGACCTGCCGGTGCTTTTTACACATAAGCCATCCAATGTGCGAGAAGAAGAAGCCGCGGTTGGCGTTGTGGGGGTCGGCGTCGGTGTCCGAGTGCTTGTGGTGGAGGCGATGGTCGCGACTCCACTCGTATATGTCGTTCTGAACGGCCGCCGTCTGCAGGAAGGCTAGGAATACACGTAAAGGGACGCCGGCTTTGTATGATCGGTGAGCCCACAGCCGGTGAGCACCTGTAGATGCAAATTAGTCTAAATAATAATATTTTTATATTTTAATTAATTAATTAACTAACCAGCTAATATACCCAGACCGCATAATACGTTCAGCAGGGCAATGTATAAGTGTAGACCAAATGAACTATAAAAGCAGGCAATATAGAGGCCATATAAGCCACCAAGGTGCAATATGAGAAACATGAGAACATTGCGCCAAACAATTTCAAGTTTATACGGTTCTGAATCAGTTTGGGCTAATTTAGCATGGTTATAATTATTATTATTAGTGTTGTCTTCGTTGATTACAGCGTTAGACAACATTATTGTATTAATTATAATTGTATCTGATTTTAATGTATAATAAGTTTTATTAATAAAATTTTTTATAAATACATTGAGACATATAACTGACTAGATGAAATAGATAAAATAAAGTAATAGTGATTATAGTTTTATACAATATTTTATTTGATTAATTTGATTGTATAATTGAGTTTTAATTACTATTTTTGGAAGATTCTATATTCAGCAATTTTATTTATAATTTTTAAGTATAGTAATTTTAAGTATAGTATTGTCAATTAATTAATTAATACTAGATTGTTAATCCTGTTTCTATGCGTCATTTAATTAAAAATAAAAACTAAATAATAGATCAAAATAATCACTCTTTAATAAGCAATATAAGTATCGCAATCTTTTAAATTAATTGGCATTTTTAAAATAAAACAAAATATTTTTATTAAGCACGTCAATTGTGACACATATTTTAATTGTATAAAATTTTGAATAAAACTTTTTAATTCAGTGTGCTCTAATTTTTAATATTTTCAAAATTTTATATACTCAATGTAATGTAATTGTAAAGTGGATGATTTTGAATAAATAACTAAAATAAAATTAGTTAAATTAGTAAAGCAGTATTATTTGATCAATTATTATTTCACAAAATAATGGAGTTAAGATTCTAAATTATAATCTAACAAGGTGGACTCTTACTCTAACATAATATTAACTTTATAAAGAATTATTGTATTAGTAATTTAACTTATGTTATAATACCTAGGATGTATGCGGTAATTTACATTATAATAATGTAGCTACATTATTAAAGGTTATTTTAAATATTAATTTTAAAACATTAAAATTTAAATTCCAATTATTTAATTAATACTCAATAAGACTGTTAAGACAATAAGATAATTAAACAGACTAAGATTATTTAAAAATACATGCATACAACAATAATTTAATAAATTGATGTCTAATTAATTAATGAAATAATTGAAATCTAAACGTAATTGATATCTAATTAAATATTTAATTGGAAATTACAAATTAGTGAATTAGCAATATTTTGTCAATTATAGTGAATTATTTAATGTAATTAATGTTTTTAGTGTATTAATTGCAAAACAATTAATCGTGAGTTAATTACAGGGATATTCTCATAAACAAAATATTCAACTAATTAATAAATGATATTTATCATTGCAAAATTTCATTTAATGTATTTAACTCAATATAAAAAGACTGAGAAGTGGTTAAAAAGTGTTCATTTAAACCAAAATTTAGCCAATTAGATATAGTTTAGTTTATTTTCTATATTAAAAAGTTCTTAGAATTATTTAATAAGAAATGACTGAAACCAAAGTGAACGGGGCAATATGTGAATCTGAGCCAGTTTGCAATGTAAAATCACCGTATAAACGTGAGTTGGTGTGGCGTAACATAACATTAATGGCAATATTGCATTTGTCAGCTCTGTATGGCTTTTATTTGTCCATAACTGTGGTTCAGTTTAAGACAATTATTTTCATGAACTTTATTGCTATGTTTTCATCGATGGGTATTCAGGTATAAAATAATCAATAGTAGAATCAATAATAGCTAATTGTATTATATACTATTGAAATCAGTGTGGGGCTCATAGGTTATGGTGTCACCGGACATATAAAGCCAAACTCCCCCTTCAGGTCATACTAATGGTGTTGCAAACAATGGCCCTCCAGAACGACATATTTGAATGGAGTCGCGACCATCGCCTGCACCACAAGTACTCGGACACCGACGCCGACCCACACAACTCCAGTCGGGGTTTCTTTTTCTCACACGTCGGTTGGCTTTTATGCAAAAAACATCCTGACGTTAGGGATAAGGGAAAGACACTCGACATGACAGACCTGGCTAACGACCCACTGGTCAAGTTTCAAAGAGCTTTTTATATACCATTAGTGGCATTAATATGGGGAGCGATTCCCACGTATATACCCTATTATCTATGGGGTGAGTCCGTGTGGAATGCCTGGTTTGTTTGTGTTATGCTCCGGTACACAGGGGTGTTAAACTTGACTTGGTGTGTTAATAGTGCTGCCCATATGTATGGCATGAAGGTATACCTGTAATAACCTCTAATAAATTATTAATTGTTAATTGACTCTGACTTTCTATTGCCAATAGCCATACGACGGTAGTATAGTACCGGTTGAGGCGGATATGAGACACTATTTAGTGGGCGAAGGTTTTCACAACTATCACCACACGTTTCCCTGGTATTAAACATACAGATAATTATAACTACCAAATATTTATAAATAAATATCTGTGATTTAGGGATTACTCGGCCTCTGAGTTGGGTTTCATCGACGCCTTCAATCCTGCGACAGCTTTCATCGACTCGTTTGCGTCAATTGGATGGGCCTATGATTTGAAGAAAGCATCGGATGATATGGTGAAGAAGCGACAGACCAGATGTGGTGACGTTCACTACAAACATAAATCTCGATTTATGGAAAACTTCACTGGCTCATTCGTGTTGGCACTTCCCATGTGGGCTCTATTCCTAATCCGACTAAATGTATGGCTTTTGTTATTAGTAGCGGTCGTGTGTTATCTCATAGGGAACCAACCAAACGGTTTCTCTCGCAAACAGAAAGTTATATAAATTTAGGATAAAATTTTAAAAAGTTTTAGCATAGATTTTTTTTGTTAATCTTTAATTATAATTTATAATTTTCTTACAATATTTTTAATTTAAAACAAATTATAAATTCTAAATTTAAAATTAACATAAAATTAGATTATAATATAACTTATTAATCAGACACATTTACTTAATACAATAAACTAATTATAATAATTGTAGAAAGAGCGTCAATGCTAATTTGTTTTATATAGTGTATCTCTCAACAAAATAATTTACATTAATGGTCATTTGGACTGGATTATTTTATGTAAATAAAGCAAAATCCTGTTTAATAAACAATGAATGTATTAATTATTTACTTTGATATATCTATCAAACAAAAATTTTAAATATGCAATTAAGCTATTTAATATTTTTTGGACTGGATTATTTTATGTAAATAAAGCAAAATCCTGTTTAACAAACAATGAATGCATTAATTATTTACTTTGATATATCTATCAAACAAAAATTTTAAATATGCAATTAAGCTATTTAATATTCAGTCTAAATTCTTTAAGCTTAATATAAAAAGGCATAAAATGTGTTTGAAAATTGTTCACATAAACCAAGATTATTGAAAAGATCATTAGAAATAATAAAGTAATAATTTGCTATTCATATTTGTATTCCCCTTTCAAAGTTTTAGAAAAAGTCTTTGAATTTATATATTTTTAGAAATGACTGAAACCAAAGTGAACGAGGCAATATGTGAAACTGAGCAGGTTCATCATGTAAAGACCCCGTATAAACTAGAGCTGGTATGGCGTAACATAATACTGATGGCTATATTGCATTTGTCAGCTCTGTATGGCTTTTATTTAGCCATAACTGTGGTTCAGTTTAAGACAATTATATTCTTCAATTTTATTGCTTTCTTTTCATCGTTTGGTATTCAGGTATTCAATACTATTCGCTAATATATTAAACATTTAATTTATTTTTATACACTATTGACACCAGTGTGGA